CTCTCTCCCCACACTTCTTTTTCCTTCCCTTCTCCCTTCCATCCCCTCCCTCCTTCCCTCTCCCCCTCCCTACTTTCTCTGTTTCCCTCCCTCTTTCTCCCCCTACCCCCACAGTCTTCTCTCTCTTTGACATTTTAACATTTAATAAGCGTGTATCTATACATGCTCTTTTCCCCTTTCTTTCTACCTAGGACTTACTTAGAAAATTGAGGTCTTTTCAACTTAAGAAAGTTTTTCTCTTATTTCTTGATTTTCACTTCTCTCTATATTCCTCTCTCTCCTTTTGGACTTCTTAGTCTCTGCATATTAAATCTTCTAGGTTTGCCTTTCATGTCTCTTGTGTTTTCTTTTCTTTTTAAGTCTTTACTTTAATTCCAGTTAGTTAACATACAGTGTCATATTTGTTTTAGGTATACAGTATTCATCACTTCCATAAAACACCCGGTGCTCATCACAACAAGTGCCCTCCGTAATCCCCATCATGGCTTCCATTTCTTTGTGTTTTTGCTCTGTATTTGTGTTATGTTTTCTTCCATTTTGTACAGAGCAGTGCCTGGCACATGACAGGTGCTCAGTAATTACTTCCTTAATGAATACATTTTGTGCAGGAAACAAATTAGATCTCACAGTGACTCTTCTCTTTTCCCATTTCTCTGTTGAATTTTCAATTCAGAAATCAGGTTTTGTGGCTGCAGAAGGTCTTTTTAGGGGCACCCGGCTGGCTCAGTCCGTAGAGCATCTGACTCTTGATCTCAGGGTTGTGAGTTCAAGACCCACGTTAGGCATGGGGTCTACTTTAAAAAAAGGAAAAAAAAAGAAAATCTTTTTACATTCTACTGTATCTCTTTAACACTTCTTTTTTTTAAGAAATTAAATGTCTTTAAAAAAAGAAATTAAATGTCTTTTTTGCATCTTCATTTCCTCTGCCTGGCGTGTTCAACTCCCTGTGGAGTGTGATTTTTTTTCTTTGCCTGTTTATCTACGGGCACGAAGATCTTTGGCCCCTGTGCAGGTCAGCCTGTCAGCTGTCTCAGGTAGCAGTGGCCTGCACTGGAAAAGGGACACAGGCGTCTGCTGGAGAGCTGGCAAACCGCACAGTCTCCACGCACTGAGAGGCGGTAGTCTGCAGACCACGGAAGGTGGGCGCGTCCATCCATTAGTGCTGCCACCTTCAGGAGGTGGGGGGGACAGCAGTGGGGTAGGAGGTTCCAAGAAAATCAATTATTTTCTAAAACAAAGGGGGAAAAATCAGTAGATTAGTTGACGTTGTACACTTGTCTACATTTTATCAGCGTTGGTGTTAATACAAACAACAAATAGAGAAGGTTTTCTTAAAGCCCAGGAAAATGGAATACTGTAAGTAAACCAACAGTGATAAATGACAGTGCCATGCAACAGAAAATGTTTTTCAAAATGCATTTGCTCCGGGCGACCATACCTAGCTCCTGTTCGCCTCTTGTGGTCCCAATGGGAGTCTTACCTGGCCAACAGGACAGCATGAAAACCCATGGGGATTTTTGGGACAGTAATAGCACAAGATGATATTAAAGGGACTCCAGACTTTTTCATGACCTCAACTCTCAGTGCTTTACTTTCTGTTGTGAGAAAGGTTTCAGAAATGGAGAGTTAGGAATACAAGTGAAAAGCTGTTAACCCAGAATGTAAATTTTGATTTTTAAATGAATACAAGATCGTTTTCCCTGCCCTAAAGGAACAGACACTTTGGGTTAGTTTTGGTTTTGCCGTAAGAAAAAAAACGGCAAAATTTAAAAAACAAAATGTAAGTGCCCAATGCTGCAGGATAAGTTTCAAGGACACCGGTATCTGAAAATGTGGGCTGGATACAGTGCATGGCCTGTCTTGGGGGGGAGCTATTTTGATTTTAACAGTCACTAAACCTGCCACTGGCGGCAGTCTGTGTCCGAAGTCCAATCACCGTGCTGCCCTGGACACCTTACTTGGAAGGCGTGCCCACTGTCCCCTTTCCCCAGCCACCACACACAGTCCAGGGGCACGTTGACCGAGCTGGTGGGACACTGGCTGTTCAGTTCAGCCTGGAAGTGGAGCGGCCTCAACCCTTTCTACCTCCGGTGACCGACAAGGCAACTCTGTGCCGAGGGAGACAGGCAGTTGAATGTCCCGTCAAATCCGTGAGGTCTTCTGATGCTTCCTTTTCAGCTTCCTTTTACACAGTGGCGCACACCTACTTCACTCGCCACTCCTCTGCTGTGAGCCCAGTCTCAGGTTCAGGGGACCTCACACCTCCTGCTGTGAAGCTCAGGGCACAGCAAAGCAGGCTACTGCCGGACCCTGGGAGGGGTCCCAGTACGTCACGGATGCACACTCAGCTATAACGTCTCAGCCTGACGGAGGGCACATCCTCAGACTGCAGGGGCAGGCTTTAGTCTGAGGGGCCAACCCAAAGGCCAGGCATTTTACACAGTTTTCTTCTTTTTATTCATGCTCAGATGGATGGAGTGGAATCCTGGCTTCCCCTTGAGTATCGATGCCAAATACCACAAGGATCTACCCCGAGACATCCAGTTTGATAGTGAGAAGGGTGTGGACTTCGTTCTGAACTACTCCAAAGCGTGAGTTTCCAAGAACCTAAGGATGCTGGGCAGTCCCTCCAGGGGCCAGGGCCGCGGATGGAACCCTCAGTCCTTTCCTTGTGGGAGCTCTGGGCTGGGGAGCAGCTCAGCTGGTCTTCCCAAATCACTTGATTGTATCCGATGTGCAACCGCAGGGTAGTCTGTATCTAAACAAAGTTATAACCTGGATGGCTCCAGACACCAAACATAGCTCTGTTGTCAGCCCAAGGTAGAGGTCTTTACCTGGAGTGCCCACCCCACCCATATCTCATCCCCCTATAGCCGATTCGGGGTTGGAGCAGGTCCACGCTGTCCCCTGGATAGAAGGGCTCTGCGGTAGTAATGGCCACCACGCCTGTGCTGATCGCTGACACCCATCCCCCCGGGTTGTCTGTCACAACAACCCCTTGAGGTAGGCATGATTATCCTCCCTCTGCAGTTGAAGAATCTGAGGAATAAGGAAGTCACATACCTTGCCCAGTGGCCCCTGCTAATAAATGGCAGAGATCCAAGTTCTGTGCTCCTTCTTTGCAGTTGAATAACGGCAGGGCTTTTAAAGTGTGCCAAACCCTGAGACTCCTTGGGTGCTTGTTAAAAACAGGGAGCCCCAGCCCCGTCCCAGGGCTAGTGGAGGAGCCTTTGAAGTTGTACTTTGACACTCTGGGGAGTTCCCGCAAGCATACAAATCTAGAAAACTCTCCATCCGTGGTTCTGCCACCTGATGGAGCCATAGAATGCCCTGTGGAGCTTCAGCACTTCTTGGTGCCAGGCCAGCCCCACAGCCAGGAAGAGAGTCTCCCAGGACGTGGCCCTGGCCTCAGGTAGGCATATCCTGGGGTGACATTTGCTCAGTGCCCAGCTGCTCCCCTTGCGAAGGGCGTCTTCTGGTCAGACTTCTGAAAGGTAAGCACAAGAGACCACACTCAGCCTGTGCCAAAGTCTTCTTCCTCTGGACATTTTGGAAGCGCTCTACACACACACACACACACACACACACACACACACACACACACACAGCCTCATAATCAGCCTCTGTAGGGAACCCCCTCACATTAGCAAGGCCGTTTGCACTGGTGTCCCTCAGGCTGCCTGAGAGGGAACAAGTGGTAGGGGTCTAACACTTAGCAAGCCTCTGCCGAGGGCCGGGCTCTTAGGTGTGGGCATTTTCTACTAGAATCATCTGTTTTCACTTTCACAGCCACGCTGGGAGGTAGATACTGTTCTTGAACGCTTCCAGGTAAATAACCTGGATCCAGGTCAAGGAATTTGCCTAAGGTCATTCAGGCAGAAGTCAGCAAAACCCGAATTTGCATTCAGATCTCTTTGGGTCCAAAGCTGGGGATTTTTTTCCCCTGCTACAGTTGGGACCAACTGGGAAGAAAAATTAAAACCCAACATCTGGACTAGTAATGCAGTAGTACCCAACATCTGGTTCCCTGGAAACATCAGGGCAATTAAACATCTGATTTCCCACCCAGGGATCCCCAAAGGCAGATGGCTTTGGTAGGGCAGAGCCCTGACCAGGATGGTGCAAGCAGGACAGAAACCCCTTCTGAGAGGGGCAGTTTGAAGAGAAAATGATAAGGATGGAGAGGCAGCGAGGTCAGAGGAGAAGATACTGCTTTGGGGAATCATCCCACCTGTACTTAGTGATGGTGAAGGGATGGATGGCGGAGTGATGGTGGGTGGATGGATGGATGGATGGATGGTGGGTGGAGGGGTGGATGGAAAGAGGAAGGGAGGGAGGGTGGAGGGAGGGAGGATAGAAGGAGGGCAGGAGGGTGGACGGTTGGTGGAAAAATACCTGGAGGGTGGATGGATAGATGGTGAGTGGGTGGATGGACGGTGGAGTGAAGGCCAGGTTCTTATGTCTGCTCAGTGTTCCTGGAATTAATTGTCATCTTTGTACCTCCGGAGCCTAGCACAGCAGCTGCCACAGAAGAGGTGCTCAGTAAACTCTGTCAAAATGGGAGTCTGACCCCACTGGCCTCTGACCCCTCAGGGGCCTTTGTTACCACCTCATGGGCCCTCACTTCACACACACACACACACACACACACACACACACACACACACTCTCTCTCTCTCTCTCTCTCTCTCTCTCTCTCTCTCTCGTCCTCTCTTTCTCTCCCTCTGGCTCTCTCTCTCTGGCTTTCTCTCTCTCTCTCTCTCTCTCTCTCTCTCTCTGCTTCTCTCTCGCTCTCTCGCTCTCTCTCTCACGCACGCGCGCACACACACACACACACACACACACACACACAATTACCTTTCATCTCTCACATGTCCCATCCTAGAAGTGTGTTTAATATTACTTCCATGCTGCCTTGGCCCAGCCTGTCCTGCCCAAACTGTTAAACCAGCATCTGTAGCCCACCTCTACCTATATTTTAAAAGCTCCCGCGGGGATTCCAGTGTGCAGTCAGGGTTGAAACCGCTGGCCTCAATGCCTCCCTTGGCCTCATCCTCCACTCAATTGGATGTGGGATCATGTCTATTTCCTGGGGTCTCCGAGTGCATCTCCTTCCCTCCCAGCTCTGTCATCTCTCCCCGGGACATTCAGGAACATCCTTCGACCTGCTTCCCCAGGATCCATCCCACACAGCAATTGGAAGTTCGTTCTCAAGCACACATACAGTTTTTTGGAGGCTCCTTCTATAAGGGCAAATCTAATTCTTTTACTCCTCCATCTAAAATCCCTCAGTGATTACCCCAACTACAGGCGAGAGTCCAGACCTCTTTGCCCAGCTCCCCTGCCCTCTCCCTTGCCCCCAGATGCACAGGACGCTTTAGCCATGTGCGCCCAGCACCAGTTTGCAGGGCATCTTCGTGCCCTTGCTTTGCATGAACTATTTCCTCCACCTTGAATACCATCCTTCCTTTCTTGGCCTGGAGAAATCCAACTCCTCGTTTTTAAGGACCTGGATGAGGTGACCCTTCTCCAAGAAGCGCCTAGAAGCATCTAGAAGCCCCTAGGCCTGAGTGAGGTCTCTTCCCCTGTGCTCCCCAGCACTGGCCACACAAACCACCGTTTCTCCAATGACACATCGACCCACCTTTCTTCACATCTGCCATGTAACTTGGCCCCTTGAGCTATGGACTGTTTGGAAGGAACACAGCTAAGAAATCTTGAGATGGGCCCTCAGCCCCTCCTGGTACAGCACAGCTGGTCACATCAGCTAAGCCTCACTTCTGCTGGCTAAGGACCATGAGGTTCTAAGAAGGAGATAAGAGATGTGTCCCTGCATTCGAGCAGAGCACAGCCTGAGCCAAGGGGACTAGACCTCAGGGAGGTAGCTCAAAGCACCCCACCCCCACCCCAGGGAGATGAGGGGTGCATGGGAGAGGGCTCTAGGCCAGTGGAAGGTGATCTTGGGAAGCTAACATCTCTGAGCCTCAGTGTCTCACCCATAGCTCCTACTCGGGGTCGTTGTGAGAATATAACGGGGCCATGTGTCAACCCTGCACAGAGAAGTTTCTCCCTAAAAACAGCATTAATTTCCATCCATTTTTGGTAATGGGGTCAGGCCAGCCAGGACCTGGCTGAGCACCTGCCCTCAGATCGGCCTCTCCCCTCAAGGACTCATAGAGGGACCGTCACTCTGTCTGGTGTTACCTTGTCACGGAGTCCAGGAAGGCTTCACAGTAGAAGGGCATCTGACTTGGCCTTGTCACCGGCCAGGCACACAAGCAGGGGCCTAGAGGGATGGGACAAGGATGCTCTGGCAGGGTCAGCTCTGGGCAGAGGTCAGCTGTGGCTGGGCCTGCTCACAGAACCGAGTGAGTTGTGACATTTCCTGGGGGCATCAAAGCAGGAGCAGCTTGTATGTTTACTCACTGTTTGCAGTCCCGGAGTTCGATTGCAGGAGGTTGGCAGGCTGATAAGGGAATGTACCTTTAAAGGAAATTGAGAAAAAGAGCTTCCTTCCTGGTAAGGTAGAACAGTGCAGAAATATGACTGAGTTCTGGGAGAGGTCACCAGCCTGGTGCCAAGACCAAGGTGCTCGACCCTTACCCACTGTGCATTTCCTGCCAGATGAGACCAGGTGGAGGCAGCTCCTTGAAGGAGAGTCCTTCTCCCCAAAGTCACAGGGGCACCTCGCCGTAAGCACAGACATCTTCCTGGGGGCCGGGGGGAGCACGGTTACAGCCTTCATGGACTGCTCTGGACCTGCATTTGCAGTGCTCAGTGAGAAACAGGGAGACGGGCGAGAAGTCAGAGCCACGTTGCAGAAGTGTGGCCTGGCAGCCTTTGAGGGCCTGACGAGAGAGCCCAGAGGTGGGGAAGGGGCTGACTGAAGACGGGGAGTGGGAGAGTAGGGAAGAATGCAGGATGTGGTGTGGATGGACCCGGGATCCCGTTGGAATTCATCAAAATGGGGAGAGACTGAGGGGGGCACCCAGGGCATCCTTGACGTGTGCATCTGGGTTATTGGGCAAATGGAGTGATCGTTAAAAAGGGAAGCTGATGAGGGGGTGGGGGCGCCTTGGTGGCTCAGTCGGTTGAGCAACCGACTTCAGCTCAGGTCACGATCTCACAGTTCCTGAGTTTGAGCTCCACGTTGGGCTCAGCACTGGCAGTGCAGAGCCTGCTTGGGATTCTCCCTCTCTCTATCCCTCCCCTACTTGTGCTTTCTTTCTCTCTCAAAATAAATAAATAAACTTAAAAAAAAAAAGGGGGAAGCTGGGGTGGGGAAGAAGCAGGGGGTAGATGAGTTCAGCTTAGGGGCATTGCTGAGGTTGAAAGCCCCAGGCAGCCTCTGGAAGTGCCATCCAGGCTCAGGGCCAAGGGCCAGAGGCTTTGTGCCAGGGAGGGGCCGGGGGGAGTGTGGTCTGACAGCCGTAACCCCATTACCCCCTGCTCCCGGCCCCCTAGACAAGTCTCTGCTGCTTGTTTGGAGACCAGGCAAAATCACATGTATGGCAGCTCCTTGAGGGGAGTTGGTGGTGAAAAGAAGGGATCAGGTGTCTGAGATGAAGAAGGTCAGGAGCCTAGAGGGGAT